CCGGGGACATGGAGGAGAGCCAGTGCTTCCCCCTGCTGCTGTGCAGGGCGTGGCATCTCCTCAGGGAGCCCAGCCCCTCAGCTGGACAGCGAGGGGGCCCGCGCCGGCTGCTCGCCCTGGTGCACGCTTCTTCCCCCGCCTCCTCTCGCACCCTGACAGCGAACAGGTGAACAGGAACAAAACCAGCCACAGCAAATACTCCAGCTGTGCTATCTCCCGATGCCCTGTTTCCTGCCCGAGGAATGGGAGGGAGCTCTGGGCGCTTGGGGCAGACGGCGGCCCACAGTGAGGGGAGGAAACTGCCGTACGGGATCACAGGGAGAACAGGTTTCCCTCACTCCAAGCCCTGCTTCCCTCTCCCGCATCTTTAGTTACTTATGGCAGAGAGTAACTTCGTACTTGAGTACTTAGTTCTCAAGCAAAAGTCAGGAAAAAGGTCACTGGTAACGAGCAGACGAATCCCACGTCTTTTCACAGCAGTCTGTCAACACCTTAACCTTTTCAAAGGAAGGAACCTCTCTTTTTCATATGCACAGAGTTTCTCTGCCACGAAGTTTTCTCCAGCTCTTGGTCAGGAGCAGCTGTGATAACGTCACCTTCCCTTCTCTGCCTGCATCGCTTCTTTCCCTGCATTTTTCAAAGGGGCCTTTGCCGTCGTTTCATACCCCACAATTCAGAGCCTTGGCAGGTGGAGAGAGCTGGTCTGCAGCAGCCATTAGAGCAGTGCAGGAAAAAGAATAAATCAGTGTTTGGGGGTTTGGGGTTTTTTTTTCAATTTTAGCAACTTTTCTGTAGTACAATGTGTATGTTCCTTTCTGTAGAAGAACACTAAGGCATTATTAAGGACTTGATGAAGCTTGTTATTCATTGATTCAGGGTTCAGTAATAAATCACTGCTTGCGGCACCCTCCCTGCTCATTGCCATTCCGCTTCAGTCATAACTGAATTTTTGTAATTTGTTACTGATAATGCAAGAATACCTCCATTCTGCATCAGTAATGAGACGAGATGCAAAGAGCTGTCTTGGGTTCTTCAGGGTAGCAGTACACATCCTGATAATTTAAGATGCGTTGAAGAATAAGCGCATAAACAGATGTGTTGCGTTACCATGTGGAGCGGAGGTTGGGGTGACTACTTGCTTTGATCTACATCCTCGGGAAGGTGGCTAGAAGCATGATCCCACCTTTTATTCATGCTGAATAAGAGGGTAATTAAATGTTCATTTCTTCGGTGCGTCCAAACAGATGACTGCATGGAGGGTGAGTTTGATTTAATCCAATCTTAACAAAAGAGGGAAAACACGATGGCGTACTGGCAACAACAGAAGCAATGGCAACACAGCCTTTAGGCGACACCACAGGACCGAGGCCCGCCTGGAAGGGCACGTGTGGAACTGTGAGACGGGAAAAACGATTTTGCCATTTAACGCTCCCAGGCTCAAGGAGGAAGGAGCTGGTAGACATTCACTGCAAATAAAGAGTAGCTTCAAAGGCACACCAAGCTCCCTATAGAAACAGCTTGAAAGACCCTGAAAAGTATGACTTCATACCTCCTTTGCTTGGTTCCAGTAATTATTTTAAGGGTAGTGATTGTTGTGAATTACTTTTTGTCTCCATTATTATTACATTGACATTGTCTTGTTTCTTTGTAAAGTTTTGAGGCATTTGAGAACAAGAAGGCCTGGACCGTATCTTTTATGCATTCTTAGAATCATAGAATCACAGAATAGTTTGGGTTGGAAGGGACCTCTCAAGGCCATCTAGTCCAACCCCCCTGCCGTGGCCAGGGACATCTTCAACTAGATCAGGTCGCTCAGAGCCCCGTCCAGCCTGACCTGGAATGTTTCCAGGGATGGGGCATCCACCACCTCTCTGGGCAACCTGGGCCAGGGCTTCACCACCCTCAGCGTAAACAATTTCTCCCTTATATCTAGTCTGAATCTGCCCCCCTTTAGTTTAAAGCCATTCCCCCTTGTCCTGTCGCAACAGGCCCTGCTAAAAAGTTTGCTGCCATCTTTTTTATATGCCCGCTTTAAGTACTGATAGGCTGCAATAAGGTCTCCCCAAAGCCTTCTCTTCTCCAGGCTGAACAACCCCAGCTCTCTCAGCCTGTCCTCACAGGAGAGGTGTTCCATCCCCCTGATTATTTTCGTGGTCCTCTTCTGGACCTGCTCCAACAGGTCCGTGTCTTTCTTATGCTGAGGGCTCCAGAGCTGGACACAGTGCTCCACGTGGGGTAATAGGCTTCCTCCAGCCTATTCACCTCAGCTCTCCCAAGCCATATGGAGAAATATCTGCCTCATCCTTCAAGGTTCACAGTAGAATAAAGAGATTTAATAACCAAACAAACATGAGATGGCTCCAAGTGACCTTAAGAAATGAACACATCTCCTAATGCTACCCGTTTTCCCTCCCTCTGTGGCTGCTCTGTTGATGTGAGATTTGAAAAAAAAAAAGTAAGCTTTATGACTTACTTTCAGAAATGTGCAGAGTATGGAGGGACAGCACTGGTTTAATCCATTAGCCACCGCAGCCCAATCCCCTTCTTACCCTCATGCTTCCTTAGAGGTATGATACTCCTCCACGGGAGCAACACCAGATACTTTTATGTTCACGAGGCTGCAGAGCCCCGTGACTCTGATCTTGACCAACCTGCGGTGTCTCCAAGACCATCCCAGCACTGCCCCCCTCTGCTTAGTCCCGAATCTAAAGAGGGATCCTTGGGCTTCTAGGCTTTTTCCCTGTGCAGGTGGTGGGAGTTAAATTCTGGGCCAACGCACGTTAAATAAGTTTTACCATAGGTCCTTAATGTTCTCTCTTATTGCAGAGTTTGTCCACACCTCGCGTACTGAAGTGAGAAAAACGTATGGTCCTGCCTGCCAGAGGCGCTGTGCTAGTGTTAAAATTCAGTGATGGTGTCTGCAGGAAGGAAGAGGTTTGCCTGCTGAGATCTGTGCTGAGAACAGTTGCCTTTACAACCAACGCTGGCCTCCAATTGCACCACCACTCAAAGGGGAAAGTAGGATCATTGGTGAAAACTCTCCCAAGCCCCGAGGGCCGCTGTGAGACTGCCCACAGCCTTCCTTTCGGCAAACCCCGGTGACTGTCCTCATCCTCCGAGAAAGCCCCAAGCGGTTCTGCAAAACACCGGCTCCTCTGGTGGGACGAAGTTCCGGTGGTGGAGGCCAGAAGGTGCAAGTGCCTGTTTGTAAAATCGACGCCACAGTGCGGAGCAGGGGCTTTCTTGCCCGGTGGGGTGAGCTCTGCACTGGGGAGTGATTTTTTTCACCGATTAGTGATTTTTTCGTCATGTTCTTTTTCAGCGCTGCCACACAGCGGCAGAGTTGAGGCTGCTTCTAAACGGGGAAGAGACTGAAGGTTCAGAAGAAAATCCTCTTCGGTTAGAAATTACCTGGCTCTCCTGCTAGGGACACCCTGTCATCGCTCAAGGCGTTAACGTGGAGGGCTTTTTCCTTGTCCAATAATACTAATGTTTTTCGGTGGTTTTTCTAAGGAGCTGAGGTAAAGGGGATTTTGTGGTCAGCCTACAGTCCTTCCCCCCAGCACACAACCACGATACTGCGCAGCATTTTGGCCAGGGTTGGGCCAAGTCAAATCTCTATAAGTTTCATGAAAAGAGTTGCCCAGTTAGAGAGAGTACTACTGACGCACAGAAGGAGGCTGAAGCACAAGCCCAGATTATTGTTTGACAGAGGGAAGAGGAATTATGAGTATCTCCACCGTAGGGAAAGCTTCAGTCAGCAAGAACACTTGTCAGACAAGGGACGTTCAGCCGTGAGGCACTGAGCCCAGGAAACAAGGCCGATACATTCTCTTGCCCACAGAGCCGCTTGTTTTTGATACAGGATGAAAGATGATGAAGGGAAAAGTGCCTGTCTAATCAAGAAATGATCCTTTTCTTGATGACACCTGTGCCTCAGGAAATCAGATCCCACAGGTAGGAGTGGGAGCAGAAAGACTCTGCTTCCTGTGGGTTTTCTTTTGAGCTGAAAACAACAAAAAAAAAAGCCCAAAACGCTTGAATGTCTCGACATTTTCCCCAAAGTTAAAGCCACGGAGATGAACAAATTTTCTAAATTCAGCCAGTTCTGTAAGTGGTCAAAAACATTAAAAAAGATCCACACAAATTCACCCACTCTTTTCCTTTTTTTGCAGAACGTCAATTCATCTATATTTGAAATGTGAACAAATTGAACCAGCTCTATTTTTACGTATTTTCTCGGGTTTTGGGGTTTTTTTTTTAAGTACCCTTACATGTCCTGACGATGAGCTGAACACTGAACCAGACGAATGAGCAGCAGGGGCACAGAGGCTGCCTGCCCGGGG